GGGAAAGTATTCTCACCACTTCTTTTAAAAGTGAAAATCACATAAATTTCATTCCTCTTAAAAACAAAATTAAAAAAAAATTGTGAACCAGTATCAGTATCAAGGTTTTACATGTGCATGTTATATTGTAGCCCTTTTATCACATCTAAAATAATAATGTTTAAAATGCTTATGTATGTAAATTTTCTTCAGAGACAGAACAATTACTGCTTGTGCATGGTTCAGCTTCTAGCAGATGGAACAGAACTACAATCCACACATTTCTATCTTTCATAAAGATGACCAGAAGCCAATGCATTCAAGTGTAGCATGCCTTTTGATTATAAATGTGTCAAGATAACCCAAAAAACATGAGGGTAGCAGTACACTATCTACTGAATCGCCATCAAACATGCAACATTTATTTTAAGACAAGAAAACTAATACCTCTGCAGCAAAAAACAGTTTTTCTCTCACTCAGAATATGCATTCACCATAAAGTACATTAACATTAGAATACAGAACTCAAAGACAGTTGACATCTCCCAGACTAATTCAAATGTGGGTTCTCAGGGTAACTCATATTCCAGTTTGATCTTCCATTCAAAATAGCAGTTTAAAGAAACGCATTACGCACTTGTATTCCTGAAAAGTAGTCATTCTCTAACAAAAAAAATGGTGCAAATTCTGAGCTTGAAGTCAAACAAGACATTACTTAACAGCAGCATACAAAATTAATACTTGGTATTACCTTTAGATTGAACAACTAAGTTCATATAATGAGCAGAGTAATAGCTCTGCCAAAAATCCTTCAGTCTGGTATAGATATCAATGTTACTCTTTTTAGGCTCATGCTTTAATGTCTCTGCGTTACCTGTAAATGTTCAGAAAGCATTTAGTCAGCTATTTTTGTATCAGTAGGACATTGCTACTCAAGGGTCTACTTCTAGATAATTTGTGTAACGGAACTTCAGTAAAATTCATAGAAATCTGGGATGCATAAAGAATGAAGCTGTGAATATTCACGTTCAAAGATATGAAAAATAATGAAATACAACAAAACTGTTTTCATGTTTATACAGCTACTATTAAGAGTCTGCCTAAACGCATCAAACCGGCCAAGAAATTAGTAATTTTTAACTGTTTTTTTTAACTATAAACAACCCTTTGAGTTTTCTGTAAAACATACTCAAAAAGAGCATTCTTTTCTTGTCAATGAATCATTTTGGACACTGTCTATGGACAGTCAAATTGTGAGAGGACTAGAAAAGAACTCAAAATTTATCAGAAAGGTGCCATAAGTGACAGAAGGACAGATAGAGGGGTTTACTGTGACGGGAGAGAGATGAGGACCTTTCTCTCAATAGTCCAAGCTACTAAGCCCAGCTGGAAAGGCATGATTGTCCCAGTCATTTAGATAGAACTTACCCCAGAAAAACTTTCTCATTGGATGCCCACGTTTGGCAAGGCTTCCTAGTAGTAGCTCCCGCCTGTTTGCATCAGAGGGCTTTGCTAGCTGGTATTCTGTTAGTTTTAAAGAATTAGAATGGTACTAAGTCATTGGTTTTGAGGCAATATTCCTACAAAATGTCAATACTATTTAAACAAAGATTCACACAGTACACAGAGCTGCACTGAAAGTGCTTCTTATTGGATACAGAGAACACCAATATTCCGAAGTCAAATGTATCTTCCAGTCAAACCTGGCCAGTTTTAAAATTGTCAGTATTCCTAACTTCAATGTGAAATGCAAGAAGAAAAGTGATTTTAATATTTATTTTAAAATTGACACTCTGCAACTTTTCTTCACATATCGTGAAACATAAAAAAAGACCTTTTCCTGTTCCTTTAGTGAACATCTTTAACCTAATGTTATTTCAGTTTGCCAAAGTTCTATCTTGTTTCATTAACAGCATCTGAGGCGCTTGTGTGGAACAAGATTATCTTACTTCAAAACTAACTCTAGTTCTAATTTTCTTACACAATTTACTACTGCCCGTAGGAAGCCTGTCTTCCCCTGCAACGGTACTACCAATCCTTACTGTTCTGCATTGGTTATATTCCACCATTTCTAACAACACACTTTAAGTGCCATTTACACAAAAGTATGCACACAAGGAAGTTCAAACAAGTTCAAGGAAGCCATAAAATGCCATTGGCCCAAAATTTAACAAGTTACTTCTGAGGTTCTAAAAATAAATGATAAACATACATGATGAGAGTTCATAGCACTGAACATGACAGCACACTGGTTAAATACCGTACTCAAGAACTTTGGGCTAAGAATCTCAAGAAAAGTTGACAGACGTTTATATTACATTTATATTATATAGTGGTACTATTCTTACCACTGTCAATAGCTTCAACTTCACGGTCAATTGCATCCCTGATCATTAATGGGTGAATGAAAAACTGTGCCCATCTAAAGCAGAAAGAAAAATGATAATTGTTTCCCTCTGTCTGCTGGAAAGAAAGAAACGTTACTGCTTCCAGCATAAAGGAGATATTGGCAATGTTATTTGTGTTTGAACAACAGATGAAGCTTTAACATCAGAAGACCTAAACATATAATACATAAATCCACAGAAGGACATATTTTATTTTTTGTTCTCCATACAAAACTAAAGATATTCTTCCCTGCTCACCAGACCTCCCCAACATCCTATTTAAGCTTATATTTAAAAGAGAGCGATCACAAGAAAATTTCTCAGGGTATTTCTCCACTGAGTAACTGAGAAATGGAATACACTAATAATGGCAATAATAGAAAACCCCTAAAACATAAGGAATCATAAAAACAGCCAATACTTTATCTGGATTCACACAAACTGTATACGCTCCCCCCTCAGATTAATCTCAAAATAACATATAATAATGTGGGTCACAACTCCTACTTCAAAGGATAGCAAGATATCCAAAGAAACATTAGTTTTCTTTCACACAGAGTGTCTTTTGTTTCAGTAAAGGGACAGCTAAAGAAGTTCAGAAAAAAAGCTTCCTTCAATCTGACCAAAACAAGGAAACAGAAATGTCTAAACTCCATTTCTTTAGACAAATATGCACTGCCGTAATATATTTTAATCTAAACAATGATTTATTTAATGTGATCAAGTTACCTATCAAGTGCTGCTTTAAAGTATTGCTGCTGAATATCAAAATGGAAGACTGTTCGTTCACAGTCAGTTGAGGCGTTGTCACTGCCACCATGCTTCTTCAGGAACACATCAAACCCATTCTCATCTGGATACTTTAAGCTGCCCATAAATACCACTGAAATTAAAATTAGGATTAGAAATATAATCTAAACACTATGGGTAGGTCTCAGCCCAATTTTCCTCTGTTGTACACCTTACTTAGTTTGAATTACCATAAAAACGGGGTTTAAACATGGAAAATAATACATACTGTGTTCAAGAAAGTGTGCTAACCCAGGCAAATCTTCAGGGTCACAAAAACTGCCAACAGCAACACAAAGAGCAGCCACAGACTACAAAATAACACATCACACATTGTTGCAACAACTTGTGAGAAAAACAGTATGACTTTATCTGGTAAGCAAATAATCAAATGCAACTATCCCATGGAAATAACTGAAATTCAATCAGAAACAAAGGGAAAAAAATGCTAATTCTGTTGTCATGCCAGCAAAATCACTTAGCAAACAGTGACTCCAGAAACAACAGCAATAGATGCTCAAAGCTGGGCAAGAAAGATGGGCAATGAACTGCAAAGGAAAAACAGTACAATGATAAATAAGAGTCTGGAATAGATGATCAAGCCAGCTGTCTGAGCAGGACATGGGTTCATTACTTCAAAAGTGTTAAATCTGTAGCATTGACACATACCAGTTTCTCTGCACTTTTATTTTCCTCTTCCTCTTCTGTTGGTTCTGCCTCTGACTCTTCTTTTCCTGTTGATTCTTCAATTTCCATATCAGAATCAGTAGGATCCTCCTCAGTTTTATCATTGTCCATATCATCCTTGTTATCACAGCTTTCCTCGTCATCTTCCATGTCTGCTGCTGAGTCACTGCCATCATCAGTTTCAGTCTCAGACTTGGCACTATCCTCTTCTGAGGATTCTTCCTCCACATTATTTATATCAGAAATCAGTAATGCATGCAAACCATTCTGTAATTTGATATACCTGTGAAATCAGTTATATGGACAACATAACTTTTCCTTAAAACATCTAAACCATCAGAGTAGATGTACAGTACAACTGTTCTAGGCCATTGAATTATATCATCTTCCCCAGCAACATCACTAAAGATCGGCTAAGCATGAAATATAACTTGAGAGCAGAAAAACTTACTGCCAAATTGCTTGGTTCTCATTTTCATTTTTTCATAAAGGTTAAGAATCGTAATATGCGAATAGAGTAGAAAACAGATACAAACGGTCAAGACTGCTACATTAAATTTATGAAGAAGTGCAGACTTCACTCAGCTGAGTTGCACATATTTAGTTATTAATCTTTATTCATAAATAAATTTCCCTAGGCTAATAATCATTGCCTCTCAATACCCTCCAGGTCCCTTGGGTACAGAACATAAGAAAAGTTCATAATGCGGGCAGAGGAGAAGCAGCTTCAAGCATTAACCTTCAGTATTTCACCTCCTTCTCTCTTTTTTTTTTTTTTTTTTTTTTTTTTTTTTTTTTTTTTTTTCTTTTCTCACTCTCGGTGAGTCTATGATACATTGTTCTTTTTGTGCGTGCCCAGTGAACAGCAAAGGAGACACCACATTCATTTAGCATCTTTACAACAACAAACAAAACAATAATTTCAGTTAAACAAGACAAAGATATAATTCCTTCGCTCCATGATTTTAATCCAATGAAAACCTATAAAATATTCATACTAGCTACTTAAGCTACTTAATCTAGTTTATGACTGTCTACATTTAAATATTTATATTTTTCCAAAAGAATATACAATAATTTCTGTAAAAAAAAAAAAATCAACAATCAACCCCAACACTTTCTGGTTTTGACTATGCTAGTGAAAGCTTACAGCTCCTACACAGTTAGAAAGGGAAGCTAGATCACAAGATACAAGACTCCTGGCTGGGGGCGGGGGGGACGGGGGACCTACAGCCAAATCTGACTTATCAATAGGTGCTTTAGTTGGTTTATGGAGGAATACTGTCCAGATATGGACACCCAGGGCTCGTCTCTACGTACAAAAAAAGGTTTTATGTGATTATTTACACAACACCATGCCAAAGACTATGTTATTTCCACATACAGCTAAGATCTGGAAGCGTTTCAGCTGCTTTCTACACAGTTCAAAATAATAAATATTGCCTGACTTAATCTCACTGTAAGCAGAGTCAGCTTCAATATCCCTGCCTAAACTGCCTACACCTGGGAAGTGCTGCAGCAGCATCTAAATAAAATCAACTCAAGTTCATCAGTGTAAAATCCATTTTCAATACTACTGCAGTACAAAATGCTTTCCTCCATTCAGTGTCCTAAATGAAAATTTTCTTCCTAGTGATCATCACAAAAGATGCTCTATTTCTAAATTATTCTTTCAGAAGGGAGTGTTTTACAACAGGGCATGTCTTTGGCTATTTCCTTCCTCTCAGCAGTTCCCCAAAGAGCAAAAAGGTAAACAAACAATGATACTGGTCTATTTACTCTCAAACTTCAGGCCATTACTGGAGTTGTTCACTAAGTAAGTGAGTAGCAGTTATAAAGAGGCACAGTGGTGCGCTATTAGCCCACAGAACAACTCTGTCAGGCTACTGCCTTTGCTCAAAGGAGATAGGAAGCTGCAGCCATGGGAGCAAAAATTCAAGAGACTACTTGCCCATTTACACAGCCAGCAAAACAAGAGCCTACCATGTTGAAAAACGGATGAGGTGCGAGGCACATCTCCTAAACTTATTCACAGCCATGCAGCTCAAAACAGGAAAACCCAAATTGTTACTAACATCCTCTTCACACTAAATTGAGATGCCATTTTGGATAACCTGGTTTCAAGTATTCAAAGTCTAGTGACAGCTGTAAAATGCAGAGAACTGGAAAGATCATTACACTGCTGCAGATTTGTTTTTGATTATACAGATTAATGAAACTTTTAAAGACGTCATTACTGAGCCTAAAACAACAAGGAAATAACAGAGCGCCTGGTGAATAATTTCTGTGCGCTTCACTTATCTGTAGAAGTGATGACAAAGACTGGAGGATGATTCAGTTTTGCTTTGCAATTCTATAACTATTACAGCAATATTTGCACTGCATGTAGTATTGAATACAGAGATTAACAAGAAACTGCATCTTTTACTACTCAAGCTAATATTTTCGTGAAGAAAATAGCTTGTGACTTTCAGAGATACCAGGTCAAATTAAAAATGAGTGGTCCATAAACTTTAACATGACCTGCAAGCTTCTTGTTGAAAGAATACCAGACTAACAGGTTAACAGAAACTGCTTTTCCCTTTTTGCAGTTTATTCCTCTATACATCAGCTGATTAGAAAGAGGATAGGGCCCCTGCTCCTCTAAGATGACTCTGCTAAAGGAAAAACTACTCATTCCATCAATCCCGTCACTTAAGATCTAAAATCCTCCAGGGTTCAGTATCACTCTCAGCTAAAGGACAGAAGGACTATATGAAGAGAACCTGATGAAAGAAGTACCCAGTGCCTGAAGAGAATAGCCGTCTGGAAAGCAAGAGCAGAACAGAACAAATATTTATCACCTATCGGATGCTACAGCTGAGTTGAAATGCATCAAGTCATGAGATACCAGTAAGAGACCTCTGTACAAGGACTTCAAATAATGCACCACCATAGAAACCTGCACATTGCTACCTGCTTTTAATAGAAACCTGGATAGGAAAGATTACCATTGGCACCAAACCCTATAGACCTCTAATCTCTATTCAACTGCTCTCAGCACCTGTTTCACTTTGGATGGTTTCAATTTAAGCCACAGTATTTTAAGGGATTTGTAACTTTCCTCTTGCTTGTCAAGCCTAGGAAGTGTTCTCTCATGTTAGCCGTTTCTCTACGAATAAGAACGTAAGAACCATCAAGAGTTTGCTTTCATGGGACTAACAGCAGAAGAATCACAGAATCATAAAATACTTTAGGCTGAAAGGGACCTCCTGAGATCATCTTTAAGTAATCCCGCTGCTCAAAGCAGGTCCAACTAGATCAGTTGGTCAGTTTTGAGTATCTCCAGGGATTCTACAGTCTCTTTGGGTCACTGCTCCAAAGTTTGCGTCACTCAAAATTTGCCTCCAAGTTATTGGTCGTTTGCTATGTTACTAATAGCACAGAGGTTTTGTGAACCATAGCACTGTTATTCTAAATATATGATTAAAAAACTAAATCACTTTAGCCCTGCTGCAAGAAATCTCTCCAAAATACTGCACATTTGCATATCTGTGCTCAGCAAAACTGAACACTTCACCTTTTGCATAATAAGAAGCTTCTGGAGAAAGAGGCAATGACCTAGTCATCTGTAACTCTAAGACAAACTGCATTTTTTGTCCGTTAAGTGTAGCTTAATCTGAAAAAAATGTTACGTTTTTAAGGAAGTTTTAGCATTTCACTAAAATAGCAATGCTCCAATTTCCTTTTAACCATAATAGCTGTTTACGAGTATAAGATACTTCATGCTAGACAGCAATTAATCATTGCTGATACTTACTACAAGCAACTTTCCCCTCAATTTCACTTTTAGCACTTAACACGGAAACATAAAACGTTAATATCTGGACTCATAGTGAAAGACTAGCTGCACCTCATTTTTCTTTTATTATTGTTATGTCTAAATGTTACAAGAAATCATTTATTAGTAACTTTCATTTCCCTCCCCCCCTCAAGATTCCAGTTTTCAGGGTAAAGTATGTGATGTGTCCTTCACTGATAAAATCAAGTTGTCTCCAGTGACAAATTGATTCTCACGTGTGGATCTCGATTGATCCACTGGATGTATTTCAGCGATGGAACCTAAGCCATTACCATCACAGTTATGGGAAAGCATATGTAATATCAAGAACCTTTAGGATTTTCCTTTCTGCCAAAAACACATTGGAAATGTTGCTAAGAGAAGGAGAAAACAGTTTTGTGCTAGCTGGCCGAGCTCAGAGTACCCCAAGGGGAGTGGCCTGCCGAAGGCGAAAGCCTTTGCCCCGGGGAAGCCACGACCGTTAGGCGTGAGGGGAGGAAGGACCTCGGGCTGTCCCCGACCGGCGACCCCGCTACGCCGC